GGAGTCTCCTTCTCTGGAGATATTCCAGCCCCGCCTGGCCGCGGTGCTGTGCCCCCTGCTCTGGGTGACCCTGCTTGGGCAGGGGGTTGGGCTGGGTGACCCACAGAGGTCACTGCCAACTCCTCACATTCTGTGATTCTGCTCAGAGCTGGAGTTTGGACCAGAGACCTGCTGGGGTCCCTTCCTGCCCAAATCCTCCTAGGGTCACAGAATTAAAGAATCGTAGGTGTTGGAAGGGATCTCTGTGGATCATCTAGTCCCACGGCTCAATATCCTTCCGTGAATCTCCAGTGACTTCTAGAGCCCCCATGAACTTCAGCATCTACAGCTTCTCCAGGCAGGGAGTTCCACAGCTGAATTAACCTCTCGCGTGGGGAGCTGCCTGCTTTTGGTTGGTTGTTGCTGTTGGCCAGAGCCTTGCGGGTGCTGCCAGCTCCTGCCTCTCCTTGCTGGTGGCATCCTGGTCAACCAGTAGATTGAGGTGGATCTCGTTGTGAGTAATGTGAACCTGCTATTCAGCAGAGGCCGCCAGGACAAGAAAACAGGATTGCAGAGGAGGAGAGAACAGGCAAAAAGGAAAAACAGGCCACTAAAAATTAAAAAAAGAAAAAAGCACCAACTGACACGAAAAAACGTAGAGGTGCTGAGAGAGGTTGAAAATGTGGTCTCGACCATCTGCTCCTGTTGCTACCTCTCTCCTGCCTTCAGGGCTTTTTGGAGAGCTGAATTCAGTTTCCTTCCTACAGGACGTGCTGGGAGTGCTCTGCAATGTCTGGACCTGTCTCTACCCATGATTTTACCTCCCGGGGGGTCTCCCAAGCATCCTGTGCCAACCAGCAGCACACCCGTGGTTTGGAGAGTGGTCGTGCTCAGGATACAGGCTGCACAAGCAGTTACAAAGCGTTTATCCAGACGTATTTCCTGCCATCGCCTCTCTCAAACCTGTTGCAGCAGCTGCTGTGCAGCGAGAGGGACGTTGCGGACGGGTTGTCTGTGCGTGTCTCACTGTGCCCTGCTTTGGGCTGGCTGGGGTATGAAAGCAAATTCCTTCCCCTGAGCTACTTGGGGGTGCACACACTGCACAGCATCCACCAGGAGGATGTCTTTGTGTCTTGTTGGGGGTGGCATGGAGCACAGGACGGGTGGGATGCCCACACCAGACACCGGGTAAGGCGATCAGTCTGAGAGCGTGCCAGCAGGGGCAAGGCGACTGATTTCCCATAGCCCCCTCCCTCCTCTGAACCCACACCCCCCTAAACACGACCCTACGCACCGTGTCAGTGCCACCTCATCTCCTCAGCCCTCTGTTACGTGAGCTGAGCTGCGCTCTCCGTTTGTTATCGGCTTCATCCACCTATTGCAGCAACTTTTTATCTTGCACTCGGCTACTATCATTAGCTGCTTCCCTTTGCCGCGAGGTCTCCACGCTCTTCGGTAACCATCCTTTAACCTGTCATAACCCCAGCGCCGCCGCTGAGACTTCGCTCTCTGAATGCTTTTACTTCCCTGGCAACAGCTCACGTTCACTCATCTTCCACCACACAAGTTGGACATTTCCAAAAATCCTCACTTTTAATCCAGCTGTGCTCCCACCTGCAACTCCCATCAACTTCAGTTACACATACGCCTTTTTCCATGTTTTTGTTTCTTCACATCAGAAGAGCAATAATTAGGAAAACTTCATTTTGGCTACAAAGCCAAACTACAGTACCAAACTCTGCCATTGCTCCCGGCAAGGAACACCAGGGAAATGCAGGTGGAGTTTTGGGCAGAAATGGATGGTAAAGCTTGGGTAAGAGGGCGGCTGGCATGTTTGGGTTTGTTCCCCACATCTGAGCAGGGCTGTAGCCTAGGGCTCACATTCTGATCTTGCTTGTACTGGTGGAATTCAGATGCAGCAACGCTGATTCATTGGCCTCTGGGGTTTAAAAGGTACTTTCAGTTCTTTAATCAAAGGCTGTGGCTAACGAGAGTTGTGCAGGATCTGGAGATGCCAAGCAGTGTGGGGAAATGCGCATCTGCAAGGAAGGGCGCAGGCATAACAACCTTCCTCTCTACTTGTTTAGCAATTTCTTATCAGCATATCTGGAAGTGCTGCTATAAAGGTGTGTAAAAAACCATCTGCCTCTGCAGATCAGCAGCCCGCGGCACCGAGGGTGATACGGCTTGCTTGAGGCCAGCCAGCAGCTCAGTGGCAGAGGCAGGTGATGGAGACTGCCTCTCTGTGTCTTTTGTCTCCGTTTCAGATTCTGACTCATTTTGTGACCTCAGGAATGATTGTAAAGCGTGTTGTAAGTACGTACATTTTTATTCTAATAAGATGATCGGTAGGAGTTACATCAAGGCGTTACATAGGTCTGCTGTTACTTCAAGGATAGACTGCTTGGCCTGGTGTGTTCCTGGATATTACTGTTAGTTATTTTACAGCCTATTATTCCCCAGTTTCTGTTCTGCTGGGATGAAAGATACTCTGGATCCTCCCTTACTCTGTGTCAGATCCTTGGTTAGATGAAGGAATGTGCCAGGGCTGAGCCTCAAACAGTGGAGATGCTAGATGAAAGAGAAATAATGTCAGAATCAGACAGATTAATCCACTCAGAGAATTCAGATTCTAAACATATTTAGGTACTCAGCCAATCCTTGGGATTTTGGTGGCATTTAATACCTCAAATACCTTCACAAATCTGGATTGAATGGAAAGACAGTTTCCATTCATCATCTGATTCTAGAGAAAATTATCATCAGTCAAAACATCTTTACTTTTCCTGCCCGCCTGTCTGACAATCTGCTAACAGGCCCTGGTAAAGCCCAGCTGGAGTACTATCTGAAGTTAGGTAAGGTTACCTTGGGAAGAGCCTGGCAGAGATCACAAAGGTCCAGGAGAGGTCACTTAAGGAATTAAGATAGGATTTGTCTCTCCCTGGTACAAAAAAAAATACAGTTTTGCCTCGCAAATTGCCCCTAATCCAAATGCAATCCCTCAGGGATAATTTACCTTGTATACTGCAGCCATGGTGTTTGTAGGTGGTTTGCTTCCCCACTCTCCCTAGCACTTTCCTTGCGCACAGTCTTGAAATTTCTTATCCTGTAGAAGACAGTGACTGCAGCAGAGCTCGGACAGGGCGCTGCACGTCCCTGCATGCGCCTTTGTCCTCCGCCCATATGGAATCATTAATAATCACTGGGTGGCCACTTGCCTGCAGGAGCTGCCCTTACTCCGTCCCCCACGTCCTCTTTCACAACACTAAACCTCACCTCAACAGCAGTTGCAGATTGGCTCACAGAAGTAAAGAGACTTAAGAAACACCTTCTTCCCATTCCCAGTGCCTCTGGGATGGCAGCGGTCGGAGCTGTGCCGCATTCCTGGGAGGCCACAACGCTGCTTCCAGACCGGCAGAATTCCCTTGATTGACTGGAACAACCAAGAACTCGACCAAGTCCCTGCACCTACACTTAACTTTTCAGGACTTGGCCCCAGTCCAGCGTACAACCTTCCTAAGGCTCTGTCCAGGCAACGTGACTTCAGGATGAGGGTCCTATTGTATAGAAACCTTGTATTGCTTTAGAAATACGCAGTGCTGTAACCCTCTAGCCTAATCTTGACGCTTTCCTCTCTTGCCTTTTATGATCGGGATGCATTGATGTACTGCTTCCTACGTGAAGCAGTCTTCGTGTGTTTTCCTTGGGCCTCATCTCACTCATTCCAGTGTTTTCCCCTGTGTGTCATCCTTCATCTGTGTTTGGATTCTTTCTTTTATCTCCCACGGAAGGATTTGTGATCGCTTATCTGCACTGTGGGTCCTCCTCAGGGCAGTTAGCCTATGCACTTGCTAAAAACATAGATACCAGGGAGATCCAAAGGGATGCTGGAGGCCTCCACATGCTCCACTATCTCCCTTCTAGATGGGATCATCAGTAATTACTGGATAGTTGCTGCCCTGCCCCTCACTCCACCCCTGTGTTCTCTTTGAAAATCCTCACAGTATCTCATCAGAAGCCTCTTTTCCTTTGTTCATTCCAAGTCCTTTATCTATTACCCTTCTTATGCTATTAAAAATCATTAGGGGTCACAGATTGCAGTCCCTGTGTGGACAGCCCGCTTGTGTAATTACTAGGACTTTCAGACGTTGTGTGCTTCTGAAAGATACCCAGTGCTTTCCCAGCCAGCTGCAGACAGCTCAGTGGACCTTCCAGAGATGCTGGGTACAGCAGGAGGTGAGGTCTTCATGAATAGCTGCCCAAGCCAACCCCAGACTGAAATGGCATAAAATCATTTTTGGTTGTGTCAGTCTGCCTCCTTATTTTTGAAAGGCATTCACAGATCAGCTGCTTTCTCAGCTGCTGTCTCCCTGGAGCTGAGTGCTCTCTCATCTAATATGCTGAACGCTCTGATTCCAGCCCAACCATACCAGCTCCTCCTGGCATCTATCCAGGACCTGGCAGAGTCGGTGGGCTTTGGATGGAGCCCACTGCCACTTCTGGTCTAAGATCTCTTGCTCCACCATGGAGTATTAGCGAGTTAAACCCATGTGAAGCCCATGCCAGTGTTCAATACCAAGATGACAGTCGTGACAGACAGGTGGACCTAGCAAGTGCTAGATGTGACGTCTTTGGCCATATGTTCTCTTTTGATGCAGCAAATCACTGTCATCTGGACTCCCACCACGCGGAATGACTGCCTTCTCCTTCGCCTACAGAAATATACTGCCAGCACCGTCTCCTTCCCTCAGCGCACTAAATGTGGGTATTGGCAATTTCTGCATGGGACAGGGCAGCATACTAACATGGAGACCAGCTGTACGTCCTTGTGAAGTCGTTCTTCCCTCTTCCACGTGGCTTTGGCACTGGAGCTCGAACGGGTGCTGGTCGTATCCCAGCATTCCACTGAGAGCTCTGGGCTAGGGTCTTTGCTGCTGCTTTGGAGGGCAGGTTCCCAGTTGACTGGTGAGTGGCCCAGCTGGGACGAACTGGTGGTTTTGGAACAGACTCAACATCTCCAGGAAGTGATAGCTAGGAAGAGAAGGCAGTAAGGATCATATCGTCCCAACAGCTTCAGAGGGACTGAAAGCGTTGGGAGTCCATCGAGAACTTCTATAAATTCTATACATTCTGTGTACATGCTATAGACATTCTATAAATTATATCCCAAAATGATATCTCTGAATGAGACTCCTAAATGATATAAGCATATTCTGCATTATTTGCAGGGACCTGTGCTCTGGTGTAAGTTTACCTTAAGGACAAAAGGACCCAATTAGAAACTGATGCTAGTAAAGCCAAACCCACATTAATTGATTCTCCACATCAATTCATATGTTAATGCACAAACTTTCCCCCGTGCATATGGCTGCGACTGATCCCAGTCTTGATTGCTGTTAGAAGTCTCGCAGCGTAAAGGATGAAGTTTATTTTAACATACTGTTCAATGAACGCTTTACTAAACAGGATAGAAATTAAGCAAAAAAAAAAAAAATCTTCACAGTGATTGTCTATTCCTTGAGAAAAATCACAAATACTCAAAATGCACAGGTTCTGCAGACCTACAGCTTTGGCTTTTTTCTGACTGATACAAATCATTTGGTAAGAATAGTGAACGAACACTAACCAAGCCAAACATTTACATAGCAACTCATTAAAAAGCAATATGTGGGCAGATAGTCTTATGTGAATCTAGTGTCCATGGTAGAATGGTTGTGCAGAAAAGCCAATGCTGCTCGGTAATTCCTGCCCGCCTCTTTCCTCTTTCCATTGTTTGAATTGGCAGCAGTGGCAGATACATGGTGCTTCATGCCTAATTGTCTGGTTATAAATAAAAAATCCAGCCACTGCTGAACATCAACCTAAAGACAGGCCAGTGGTCATACAAAAGGGTCCGGGTTCTTGGCAGTGCTTGGGGTCTGACAGCGATGGTGTGAGAAGAGCAGCTGCAGGTTTTTTGTCCTAGAGAACAGCGCAATACCACAGGAGCGGTAGCAGTTCCAGCATAGATCTGACTGTTCCTTGCTTTTCATCTCTTGTGTTGGTGGTGGTTCAGTTTTAGAGCTCTCAGGGACAGAAAGGCACAGACTCTTAAAGCCAGGCTATACTTTTAAAATTAGGGTGACATATGTAACCTGAGTTTGAATATGCAAATGTTGTATTGAGTTCTGTTCACTCCTAGGAATAGCCCTATGACGTTCAATAGGGTTTCTTGTATGAATAAATAAAATTCAAAATAAGATTTGCAGAATATAAATACACACTGGACGGGACCGTGTCTCAGTGCTATGAGCCCTGGATCTTCACGTGGGCTATAGCCACACAGTACACAAACTCAATTCATACTCAGAACATCAATTCCCTGTCAATATGTCATAGGAAAATTTATTCCTGGCTTCAAATGCTGCAATCTTATTACCTTAGGATATAGGCAATGAGACAAGAATGACTGATCCTGACAAAAAGACATTATTTAGTAAGTACAAAAAATAAGCCAGTAATTCAGGAACAGCTGTGAGGGTGGAGCAGTCTCTTGATCAGAAACAAGCAGACAGCCTGAAAGGCAAAACCAGCCCCTAATTGCTGACATTGCAGTCATTTGCAAAGCTGTCAAAAGCATCAATCAAATTTTACCTTCCTGCTAAAGTATCTGGGAATTTTGACATTGGGGCATGAGGCTGCCTATTTTGCTGAGAAGCTGCAGAAGGATCCTCACTGGAAGTCCTCAGGGACTTGGGTAAAGGACGCTGACGTGGCAGCAGTGACGCCTGCGAAGGGACCTGCAGGGCCAGAGCCGTGAAGTCGCAGCAGGGCAGCACAAGCTCCACGTCGCAGTGAAGAGGAGGGATGATACAGTGGCCCGGAACAGAGCTCTGGTTCCCATGCCCAGCCTGGCCGAAGCGTGGAGAAGTCACCGAACCTGTCGCATTCCTCACTTTTCTTTATATAATACTGGGACAGTGGCTGCTGAAGGCAAGGTGAGCATCAAGGTGGCACAGCCATGCCATAAAGCCTTGATCCAGCACAGTGCTTAAAGAGATGAAACTATACATATCCTTAATGTAAAGCGTTTCCCTGGATAAAGACAGAGTGGGGTGTTCCCTCCCCACTGCAGAGAGCTGGGGGTTGCATGTGGGTTCGTAAGAAAGAACGTGGCCCTTCATTCAGAGACTTAATTAACTTAATTTATTGCAATTTACTATTTATTGTAATTTAGCTAATTTACTTTAATTTATTCTAATTTAAGTGTAAGCCTGGTCACATTTTATGCTGCTGTTTCCATAATTACTAATAAACTCCAAAACCTCACAAGTTTACTCGGAGAACTGATTCACCACATGCAAACGTGGAGCCAGTGGATGTAATTGCAGGACTCGGGTCACCACCTTAATTACAGGTTTATTCTGTTTTGGTGTGCTGTTCAGCCTCCTCAGCTTGGAGCTCCAAATAATAGCCCTCTTCACATCTTCATTGTTGGCTGTAATGTACTTTATTCTCACCTACTTTCTGCACTTGGATCATTGATCTATTTAAGAGCTTCATTTTAATTTGACTTGATGTTTGCTTGCTTGGGGCACTTATTCTTTCATCATAGTCTGTTCTTCTAAGGATTTACTAAAAGATTTGAGCATTAAGCCTCTTTATTTGGACTTGATTAAATATGAGTCTTTTCACAGGTCTTAATTTCAATGAGGTTTCCCAATCCTACCTTAATAAAAAATGGAAATTAATTTTGGATTCTTCCTAGCAAGTTATATATATGTATTCTTTTTCTATGCATCAGCCTACCATAACCTAACCTTTAATGTCATGTAGTGTTGTAGTCATTAATGGCCAGCGTAACAGCAGGCTTATATATCAGAGGATAAAAAGCACAGCTCTCCTACTGAAATTTGGACAACTCTGCACTCAAAAGAAATGCAAGCCCATTTTTAACGTAAAGGTCTAGGAAAGAGGGACACTGCCACACAGGCTACCCCAGATTTTTAAGACAAATAGAAGCCAGTGCTACCAAGATTGCTCAGCACAAAAGCATGGAGCTCTGTTCTGGGCTGACGTCACCACGGCACGGCCCCATGGGTTTGAGGACACTTAACCCCCGGGTTAGGCTGTCCCAGCTGCCCAGGAGGGACCAAGGGAGGATGGTGGGCCTCTCAGGCCTTGGCAGTGGCTTGAAGATTCTTCCCAGGGCTTTTTGTGGGGTGAGAATTCAGTACCCACCAACTCTGTGTGCTCCCCCAGGCATCTGTCCACGACCATTTTGTGCCAGCTAAATGCTTCCGGGTGACTATTTGCTACAGGAATAATAAATTTAAATAAATTTAAGCTGTGAGCAGCCAACAGAAGGTGACACGTACGTACACACTGCTGCAACTTAGGGCAAGAACTCTCGCTGACATTGTGCAGGGTCTGGACTTCATGGCGGGAGTCAGGCTAGGTGCCTGTGCCTTCCTGATTGTGGGTTGTAGGTTCAGTAACTTAGAAGAAAACATAACTTTCCTAAAATCTGAGGAAAGAAAATCAAATTCACCTCTTTTTATCCTGAACTAAGATTCTTTCACTTCTGGACTGACAATAAAACAGCTTTAGATCTGAAACGGGAAGCTGTGGTGGAATGAAACCGTGTAAGGGCGCTCTGATCTAAGGGCTACAGAGGAAGGCATTGGAGAATGGGAATTGTTTAAGACACAGGCTGAATAACTCTAATTATATTTTCTGTTCTTTAACACTGACTGAATCTGTTTCCTTGCAAACAGGCTGTATGTGGGTCAGGAGAATGCCTCCCAATCTCGGGAGACAATGCCTCTCTTCTATGTAAACCTTCTTCATCACAACTCACGTGCGTTCCCTGGCTTTTATCGCTTAGGAAACACGCTTCCAGGTCTGCAAAAACCCCTGATACGCTTGTGAGCACGTCGTTCTGCTGGCAGCTGTTTGTTGCCGTATCTACAAAAGCTTAGACCCATGATGCTTTCTGGAAGCCCGACTTCCCCAGACTCCTTTCATGTGAGGATGCCCTATTTTACCAGCGATGAGCACAATGGAGCCTCAGTATTAAGACCTTGGGGCTGCTCGCTCAGGCTCAGTGCGGCGAACAGAGAATAAACTAACATCAAACTGCAACGATCAAAAGTCGCCAGCACAGAAGAGCAGCTCTGGGAAGAGATGCAAGTGCTATAAGAGAATTGATCCGGTGTTTTGTAAAGCGTGGAAACTGGCTGGTGGGATGCTGGGAGGGAGAAGCAGATGAGAAGGTCGCTGTCTCCACGCAGACAGTTGCTGTCTTTTCCCCTCAAGGCAGACGCGCCATGTCTAGGCTGCAAGGAGAGATTGCCCCCGGAGCAGCCAGACGTCGCGTGCTTTGTGTCCTCCCTCTGCCCAGGTCTCTCCCTTCGGGATAGGCAGCAAATGTGCCTGGCAGCCTCCTTATAGCCAGAGCAAAGCTTCACAGTTAGACCTAAGTTCAGCAAAAGCTCTGAGCTAAAACGCTCCTGGGTGTACCTGACACCGGGCCCCAGCTGGTACAATTACAAGCCGGTGATACTTGCCAGTGATCTTGCCTTCTGGAACTTATTAGATCCACAACCCATGCTCTTTTTTTTCTCCGCTGCCTGCCGGCTAAGGTCTGGGGTCTCCCCGCCTCCTTTCTTTCTCCTGCAGAGTAGAACAGAACAGTATTAACAAGTGCTGTGGAGTTGGTTCCCTGGGGTTGAGAAAAAGAAAATCCTTTATGACATTGCCATCCAAAAAGACATGGTTAAAGATAATGCATTTTATCTTGCACCTGGGGCAGACCAGGCGCGCACAATCAGATAGCGTGGCTCAGGGAGGGTGGTAACTTGCTATTTTTTAAGTTATGGTAACTTCAGAGCACTCAAACATGTGCCCTTAGCTCGAGACTTACTGATTTAAGCTAAATCCATGTAACGTGTTACATCAGCCTAGGGGACTTCACAGAAAGGCAAGTGTAGCTAAATCAGTTTAAGAGTTTTCAGTCAAGTCCATGTAACTTGTAAAATAAACAAGGCTAGAGGACTGCGCCTCCAACAAGTTATTTATTCATTGTTTTAATAGCCAAATACTTCTTCTTGTATATGTGTATGTGTATAAATTTATAAATTTTTATGCAGATATTATTAAAGTCAATACAATTAACTGGCAGAACAGGAATATTCCAGAGTGTGAAAATTAAGTGAAGTACACCGGAATATGGCCAGTTGTCACATTTTTCCAATATCAGGAGTAAAATCCATGCTGTGAGGAAGTTTTTTTACGAACTCAGGCAGGTTCATAAAAACACTTGCTCTCAAGGTGTTCATTCCCCATTCAAATTCTGCAATATAGAAGTGGCGAATTTAAAGCAGAAACTCTGTGTGCTCTCTGGGTTGGTCTCCAAGCTTCGTCACCAGTGTCTCTGGGCTCCTGGAAGGCATGCTGGAAAGCACATTCTGAATGCAAAATCATGAACATAAAGGGTGGAAATAGACTCTAAAACCTCTACTGCTATATCCTAGAGTCGTAGAACATTGGACAAGCTGGATCGGTGGGCTGAGGCCAACTGTGTGACGTTCAACAAGGCCAAGTGCCGGGTCCTGCCCTTGGGTCACACCAACCCCACGCAGCGCTCCAGGCTTGGGGAGGAGTGGCTGGAGAGCTGCCCAGCAGAAAAGGCCCTGGGGGTGCTGGTTGACAGCCGGCTGAACAGGAGCCAGCAGTGTGCCCAGGTGGCCAAGAAGGCCAACAGCATCCTGGCTTGTACCAGCAATGGTGTGGCCAGCAGGACTGGGGCAGGGATCGTGCCCCTGTACTGGGCACTGGTGAGGCCGCAGTTCGAGTGCTGTGCTCAGCTTTGGGAATGGGACGAGAGGCCATGGCCTCAAGTTGTGCCAGGGGAGGTTTAGATTGGATATTATGAAAAATTTCTTCACCAAAAGGGCTGTCCAGCACTGGAACAGGCTGCCCAGGGAAGTGGTGGAGTCACTTCACATCCCTGGAGGTATTTAAAAGACATGGAGATGTGGTACTCAGCGACATGGTTCAGTGGGGGACTTGGCAGTGTTGGGTTAATGATTGGACTCAGTGATCTTGACGGTCTTTTCCAACTTAAATGATTCTATGATTCTATAACAGCAACATTTATCCTACACCATATAACACACACGTCCTCAAAAGCAGCCAACACCAGCACGTATCTGTTACTCACTCGTCCCAGACCAGCTGCAGATCAAGAACCATAAAGACAAATTATTTCAAACAGTAAGTTGAGGAAAACTGCAATCTGTTTATAAACACGTCACTAACAGCCAAGAGAGAAAATTAAATCCAAAACATTATTATAGGGAGTGAACTGGTCGTCTTTAGCTAGAGGGCAGACCTGGCCTTGTGGTCCTAAATTAAGATATTAACCTCTGCTGCTGTATTCCAGTGTCCCTGCTCATGGTGTCAGAGCATCCCGCTGCAGCAGGTCACCACCACCATCTCAATTCCCAGCCCTGGAACCACTCCGGGCCAGGCTGGATGGGGCTCTGAGCACCCTGATCTGGTTGGAGACGTCCCTGCCCATGGCAGGGGGCTGGACTGGATGGCCTTTAGAGGTCCCTTCACGCCCAAACCAGTCTGTGATTCCATGATTCTATGGAGATGTAAGCAGTGAGGATGGGTTTCTCACGGCTGCAAAGGAAAAGGGCATGAGAGCCCAGATGAGGATGGCAAGTCTCTCACTCCCAGTGCTGAACTGGGTGTTTCTCGCCCCGCTTTCCTCCGTTAAGAAACATTTTTAACTCCCCACAAGCCTACCAGGCAGAGAGTCCTGGGGTGGCTATTCAGAAACATGAAAAGTGAGAGACAAGCGTTAGGATTCGGAAGGACGGGGAAACACCATGCCCTTCTCACGCGAGCCAGCCCCTTTTTTGTCAGAAACTGGGCCTAGGCTGCTGACAGAACAATTACTGAAAGTAATTATTTTCTCGTTGGGTAAACACTCCAGTACAATATGCAACTGTTTTTAGAGCCGGCCTATGTCCATAAATTATCTAACTGAATTAGTGCTGGCTTCCAGAAGCCTGAGCTGGGGGAGGGGGGGGAAGGAGCTTGCATTTTGGCTGAGCTGTTGTCATGAGAAGTAGCAGGGCTCTGTCTTGAGGCACAAGGACACAATCTTGGCAGGGGTCCAGCGCTAGGCTAGAATCGGGATTCATTATTCATGATAAAGTGAGAGGCAAATCTTTTGATTTATTAGCAGCAAGCAGCACAAACACCAGATGCCTCCCAGCAGAACTGTACACGCCGGGGCTGAAAGAAACGCCCCTCCTGGTCCTTTTTTAGGCAGATCAGAGTCCCAGAGACCATTTGTTAACTTAGTTCCACACTTTAGATAAAAATGTTTCGCTTCACCTTTGCAATATTGCTTTGTGCCCAAAGCCACAAATCCATCCTTGCTGGTCTCTGTTTTGTTTGTATATGAACAAAAAGCTACCTGGACAATTCAGGCAGAAAACAAACCGGACCTACCAGAAATCATCCTCGTGATAAATTGCACACATACACGCAGCAACGCCAGAAGTCACAGCTACAATTCTACCGAGGGATTTTGATAACCCCTTCCAGGCAATTTGTAATTCAACCCCTGTCTGTATCTCTGCTCTGTCGCCTCACCACTCCCTCGACCACGCATCTGATCGTTGCTATTCTTAATTTCGCTGCTCAGTGACTATGAAGCTTTTTCCACACCATCCCATCTAAACCAGATGTCTTGGTGAACGCAGGGATCTCCTCCCATCTCCTTCCTGCTGCAGTGGTGTTTGTCACCGAGGCTCTTGGGTGGCATGCAGTTTTAGAGCACAAGCTCATGCCTTTCTGAGCAAGCAGCGAAAAAATCCATCGGAATAAAACCCAGTCAAGTCTCAGCTATCATCCAGATTGCAAATTAACACCCTTCTGCCATGTTTTGGCACTACGCAGCTGTGGCACCATGTTGCGGTTTTGCTCCCAAGTGACATGAAGCACCAGCACTGTCCAGGCCAAACTCTCACCCAATTGCTCTATAGAAATCTATTTATTTGTTTTTCAAAGGTAAATACCCAATGATGGTCTTATAGCCTAAAGTATATGTTTTGTGTTACCTCTTTTAGGATTCCCTTTGTCTCATAATTGAGAATTGCCCGTAGCTTGTTATGCTTCCCACGTTTCACATTTTTTTGGCTAAGCAAGGATAAGTTCTCTGCTATGAATTCACAGCAGCGTCGTTTTGATACTGCTGTGGAAGGGCGCATATAGCTAATGACTCCCCCCAAGAGGCCAGCAGAGAAACAAATGACAGCTCAGCCATTTACATGCCAATATTTCGGCTGCAGCGGGGACACCCTGTTACGATGAACAGGAGAGTTCTCACCTCTCTTTGGGCCAGAAAGCCAGCGCAGAGCGAGGGCCAGCTCAGAGGAGATTTTAACCTGGTCCAAGAGCTAGGAAAAACTTTATTTTTTCGTTGCCTCTTAAATTCTGCAAAATTTACCCTGACATTAGGCAGATTAACTTTGATTCAAAGAAGCAGCCAGTGACTAGTCTCACGCATAGCTTTGATGATGGCGTCAGGTATTCCTTTGATGTAACCTTGTTTGGTCACAAAGAATTTTCTACAAGGCCAGTTTTCCTCAGCACAGCAGAACTCAAAGGGAAAGAATGGTTTGTTGGCTCACAGCTTCCCAGTAACCTGCTGGCCTCCAAGTGCTCTCCCTAGTCCTTCTCTCTCAGCCATCGCTTTGGCTTTCTGCTGCTTTTCTGTTGGTTCCGCTGCGTCTTTTCACACGTGCTCATGACCTCCAGAAAATACTCGTTGCTCTCTAGATGCATTCAGACTGCAGCAAAACTCATTTCCTCTCCCAGACTACCTTTGCAAAACCCTGTATTTGGGGAAATCACTCCCTATTGTTTTAGGAATCTCATTTTACATAGATTTCATTACTTCTGACATTCATTTTACATGAAGAGTGGTTGTTATGCCCTTGAGCTCCAAGAATTCATCTAATCTGAAGAATAACTATACCTAACACAGCCTGGGGGGTCAGAGATTTGTATCTCTGTTCTCTGTTCTGCTTTACAACCCTTTACACTGGTCAGGCAGGGTCTGCCTGAGCCCGTAGGCTGCAGTGAGGTAGATCATCTTGCATAGCATTCCCATGAGCCTCCCTAGCTCAACCGACCAGACGTTCACTCACAGTTGGCTGAGCATGGCCTGCATCAGCCAACCAAACAAAGCTTGGCATCACCGTGGGGCACTCTGACCGCTTGGCCATTGTGCTACCGTTGATAGGCACCCTACACCTGCCCCAGCCACCCAGCAGCTGCCCCTGCCACCTCCACCGACAGCCTACACTTGAGGAACACTCCAGCGTGAAAGGTGGAGTGAGTAGGGTGAATCCTACTGTTCCTACCGCAGACAGGCAGCCGGGTGACGACCCAACCCCCAGGGAGCTGCCCAGAAGCAAAGGATGGAGGACGCAATATTTAGACGGGAAGTGAGGAAGCATTTCTTTACCACAAGGGTGGTCAAACACTGGAACAGGCTACAATGCCCCAAGCCTGTCGGTGCTGAAGAGGCATTTGGACAATGCCCTTGACAACGTGCTTTAATGTTTGGTCAGCCCTGAAGTGGTCAGGCAGTTGGACTAGATGGTTGTTGTAGGTCCCTTCCAACTGAGATAGTCTAGTCTAGTCCAGCCTAGTCTATGTAGACCCTTAGCAGGAGGACTTCTGCCCTGGTGAGGCCCCATCTGGAGTACTGTGTCCAGTTCTGGGCTCCCCAGTTCAAGAAAGATGAAGAGCTACTGGAGAGAGTCCAGCGGAGGGCTACAAGGAGGGGGAA